GTCGAACATCCTTACTGATGATGTTCTCTCCTCTGTGAAGTTTCATAAGCTGCTCCCTGCCTTTGTTGCAAAGTCTCGCTACAGCCGCCTCCAGCTCTCCTTTCTGCACGAGGCTGACGTTGTGAACATCAAGAAGACAATGGTGGACCACAAGCGTCCGAATGGTTCAACGATCCATTGTTTCTGGCTACACCAAGAACATGAACTCTCGTCCGCAAGAAAGCTTCGAACCTGCAGCTATTGGGAGTTTTTTTCAAGAACGTACCAGCTTACATCCCGCCGGAGTTGGTTAAGGAGGTCATGGTGTCTTAACCGCTCAAAGTCCGGAAACAGCCTGTGTTTGCCGAAGGCCTCCTTTCTCCGCGTGCTTCACACGGTTTCTGGTGCTGACACTAACAAGATCAAGGGGTTGGTGGCCAAGCATGCCGGCGACAAACACCGTTGACGTCACGAGTTTCGTCACCAACTGCTGGGAGGGATGACCTTGCTAGCCCACTACCCTCTGCCATCCTGCTCGCTCTGTGGTGGAAATCATTATGACAAGTAACATAATGCTTATATCACTGAGTGAAAAAATAACATAGGCTGCTTCTCTCTGCGCTTCCCTGCTAGTCGCCCCACTCCTCTTGGATGCGGCGTCCGTGCTGATCTCCACTGAGAGCAACAGGGAGGAATGGCTGTGCACGCAAGACAATTGTGGAAAGGCTCACCTTAAGTCCTTCATGTCCGTTGCGGATCACACCGCCTCGGCGAGTCATCTGCTGGGCCTGAAGAAGCTGGGTGCAGCTACCCGCAGTTCCCTGGAGATGCTGAACCTTCGTGACATTCGCAAGGACTACGAGATCTGAGACCAACGCTTACATTCCTTTAGTGGTGCAGTGGTTGCGGTTGTTTGCACTCGAGTAGTTATTGTCGGTATCACCAGTCCGTGAGAACGGAAACAAGCAATAACTCACAAAATCTTGGATTAGACAAGTTACTGATGTCAATGTACTTGCTGACGCCAGGCTCACTGACGACCACCCATACTGGAATTCATTCATACAACCTAACACCCTAGTCGCATCACCTACCGCAAAGGCCAGAGGGGTGGCACAAATCTGCGACAGACACGGTCTCTCAATACACAAGACCCTCATTTTCCCATCCGGGAGACTCATTGCAGCCGACATATCACCTTGTTAGCCGTATACTTTCCAGCAGATGGAGCCGAAGGGAAGATTTTCATCGGTAGGATGCTGGGCCCGGAGATTGACTCCGTGCAGCCGAGTGCACACCTGCTCATCTTAGGGGATTTAATCTGTTGGAGGATCCGCTGCTGTACAAAACGTCAAAGAAAGGAACAATGAAGGAGCACGATGAGCTTTACCAACGATGCAGCGCCTTCAGCATGTCAGATGCTTTCGGGGTTCAACATCCTTAGGGACAGAAGTTCACTGTCTACTCATGCGCCAACCAATACAGCTCACGGATTGATCGGGCGCTTATCTCGCAGTCGCTGCTGACGCAGGTGGAATTCGCCTCACACATCATACCGGAGGATCCCATCTGAGATCACAGTTTCGCGGTGAAAACTGCCTTCAGGATGGACACGCGAGTGCAGTTGGGTCTTGGTCTTTGAAGGCTGCCTGCATACATGACCTGACGTCCAGGAGTTATAATGGTCATTGAGGCGGTGGAAAGGCAAGCGGCTTCAAACGGGGAAAATTGCGAGTTGCTGATATCAAGGCTCAACGCCGGTCTAAAAGCCTACGCGAAGGAAGAACGCAAGTGAAAAAGATCTACGATGGCTCACCTTCAGCAAGATATCGCAGCTCGGAAGCAGGCACAGATGACTGACCCAGGATGTGCTCGCCTGAAGGGCCTGCTCGCAGCTCAGAAGCTATTAGATGGTGAGGCAAGAGAGGCTGCATGCGGCATGAACGAGGAGTTCATGGGGGAAATTGCGTCCCTATACATTGGGGAAGGAACAGACGTAGATTACGGAACAGGGTGCAGGAGAGGTGGCAGTCACTGAGAACAAAGCAATATTGGGGGTGGCATCGCAGTTCTACAGAGACTCTTTGGACAGGACAGACAGCAAACCGTGTCTGACTGGGCCCCTGCCACTGGGAGGACTCTGTCGCCGGCATGGATGGAGAGTGTGGTGACAGACAGGAGTGAAAAGGAGGTGAAGGACGCCTGACGGAAAAGCAGTCGCTCACGTCTTCACCGACACTGTCGTACCCTGATCCCACTCGCCCGTACGTTGCAGTGTCCGACGCTTCAGATCAGGCCATAGGAGCAGTACTTCTTCAGGACCAGGGACGCGGGTTGCAGCCGATCGCGTACGAGTCGCGTAAGCTTAGGGGAGCGGAGCTGAACTATCCGATTCACAGCAAGGAGGCGCTAGCGATCATCCATGCGTATAAGGTGTGGAGGTGCTACCTAGAGGGGGCAGATAGTGTTATACGCACGGACCACTGCTCGCTTCGTTTCCTCAAGTCGCAGCCGCAGCTGAGTCGTCGCCAGGCTAGATGGATGGAGTTCATGGAGGGGAGTTTCCACTACAGGATAGAGTACAAGCCAGGCGTGCGCAACCTAGCCGATCCGCTCACTCGCCCTAGTTGTCAGCTCGCTAGTCTCACAGTCACTGCCGGCCATCCACTTCTCACAGCACTCTTCGAGCACGGTTACACAGTAGATCCCGACTTCACACCGCAGCCGCCCGCAGGAGCAGAGGTGCAGGGTAGTGTCTACATACGGAAGGGTACAGCACGGATTTGGGTTCCAGCCTACCGCCCTCTTCGACAGCTCCTTCTTTCTGAGGCACACGACGTTGTTAGTGCAGGTCACTTCGGAGCAGATAAGACGGTTAAGACACTTAGTCGCACGTACTTCTGGCCAGGGCTTGCAGCAGACGTAGAGGATTACATTCGCTCGTGTGACACGTGCCAGCGCACGAAGTCCTCTCGCCAGCGCAAGGCAGGACTTTTGCAGCCGATTCCACCGCCCGACCGCCCTTGGCAGGTAGTTACCATGGATTTCATCATGGCTTTACCGCGCACAGTTAGGGGTCACGACGCCATCTTCGTGGTAGTGGATAAGTTTTCTCGAGCAGCGCACTTCATCCCCACGCACGGTCAGGTCACAGCAGAGGAAGCCGCGACGCTGTTCGTAGATAACGTAGTCCGACTGCACGGGGTTCCCGATTCCATCATTTCCGACCGCGACCCTAGATTCACCTCGAAGTTCTGGAAGCAGCTTTTCGCACTGTTTGGGACTCGCTTAGCCATGTCGTCAGCGTACCATCCAGAGACAGACGGACAGACTGAGCGCGTGAACCAGACCTTAAAACAGATTCTTCGCAGCATCACGATGCACGACGCAGCAGCATGGGACAAGAAGCTGAGCATGGCAGAGTTCGCATACAACAACACGCACCACTCCGCCACAGGCATGTCACCGTTCTTCGCACTGTACGGTCAGCACCCCAATGTCCCCACTCGTGTCGATCTCACACCCACTGTCCCTCGTGCGGACAACTTCCACCAGCATCTCACCTTCATTTATGACCACGTGAGGAAGCACCTTGAGCTCGCTAATGCACGCATGGCACGCACCACCAACCGCAGTCGTCGTGAGGTGTTGTTCACAGTTGGCGACCGTGTTCATTTGGATAGCCGCAACCTCCGACTGCCACAGGACAGCAAGCTTCGCCCACGCTTCATTGGTCCATTTGTCATTGAGCGCGCACTTGGTCCAGTCGCATACCGCCTTCGCCTTCCCGCTCATTTCCGCATGCACCCGTCATTCCACGTGTCTCTCCTTCGTCCATACACCGATCCCAACTCCACCTTCTCGGGCCGTGATCGCACTCCACTGCCGGTAGCTGTTGACACCGACGAGCCCGACTACCAGATCCAGCGCATCCTCAGGCACCGTCGCCGTCTCCAGGGGGGTGTCTCCTTCGTTGACTTCTTGGTTCGTTGGCGTCGTTACGATGCAGCCGACGACAGCTGGGTTCCTTCGTCCTCGCTGTCTCCCGACAACGCTTGTCTCCGAGCGTACCTTCAGTCTGCAGGCGCCGCGGACGTCGCCTCCTTGGGAGGGGGGTAGTGTTACGGGGTACTTCACTGTTCAAGGGTTATTTACCCTAAACAGATCCCCAACCTAATTCCAACCTATCTCCATCCAATCCCTTTGGGATTTCCTAGATTTCCTTGTGCCACGTGGCACTCTAGTCTACTTGCTTTACAATTCCTTGTCCCACGAACTAGTTTCCAACAATCGCTCTTGCATGCTACTTAAACCTTGCTTGTACTTGCCATTATCAACCAATTCTCATTCAACTCTTCTTCAATTACTCAGTTACTTCTTCGCCTATTTCGCCAACACTCTCTTTCGCCAAAGTCTTCCGCCGCGTTTATCCTCGACTTAGTCGACCCCGCTAATTCTTTAGCAGACTTAAGGCCGTCGGGCACTACACCATGGTCAGAGCTTAGGGCGACGTCATGTACAGCTTCCTGACGCTCAACTTCGTTTCGCAACGATGGAACACGGTTAACCTTGAGAAAAGCTTCCCACCGTGTTGAAACGTTTTGAGCCACGATACAAGAATTGAACATCCACGAGAAATGTACAACCTTACTCCGCCCTTACTGAACAACCAAAGGAATTTTGAAATGCAGTAAACATGAATGAAGGCACACTGTTGTAAGAAATTGGTCCAATGGTTTGAACTGATAGCAATAACGCAATAGCATGACGTGTGTGCTAAGAAATGCTGGGATACAAGCTCCCACAAAAGGGGGAAAAGGAGCGTTGATGCAATGCCTCGAAAAGTGCTAACACACCATTATAAAAAATTCATGAGCAAGCACTCCACATAGCATAGTCCTTCAAAACTTGTGAGGCAGCATGTTAACTACGGTAATGTCGTGTCGTTGCATCTCTCATGCCAACCAGCAGTATGATGCTACACTACCCGCTCCTTGCTCACGACACAGCCCACCACCCTCTCAAACCTTCCCCCCTTCCATCACCACTCGTTTGCTGAACCAATACCGATCCTTATTAACACTCAGAAACCCAGCGCTCTCCTTCCCCCCAGTAACCCTCAGATTATCAATCAACACAGACCAAGTCGACCCCAGCGTCCCCACGAACAAATCCGCCTCGGCTGCAAGAACCAGATTCACAAATGCATTGTCTGATGTTGGCCCCATCCCCACATCAGATTCATATGATTTCATGGAGATATTAGCCGCGCCTTGCCGGGGAAACTGAGTGTATTTGACGGCCCAGCGAGGGGAGAGCAGGCGGGTTGCTTCTTGCACCACATCCTGTTGGACAGAGAGGAATGGCAAGGAGGGAGGAGTGAGACGTAAGGGATGGTGAAGTGACTGGGGAGGGTGGTTAATTAGACCCAAGACCCAAGACGTCCAATTCCAACACCACAACCACGTCAACCAAGGTCCCAACCACTTTCAGCCACCCCACCCACCTCCATTTCCGTGCTCAGCCACATGGCAGTAACGTCCGGGAAGTTTCTCCGCGCCTTCTCAGCAAGTTCCAGATACGCCGACAAAGGCAGGAGGCGCATCTCAGAGGACTTATCACCCTGCCTCACGTGCACTGCCACGTATCTCCTCCCCACGCCTGCCCCTCTCACTGCTTCCCATACAGGCTCCAGCCCCTGGTATCGCTTCCGATGCTTGGCCAATTTCTTAGGGGTCAGATGCGCCTGTGGTAGGATAGATAGGGTGTCACAAAGGGGGGGGAACGAACAAGGCACGTTAGGAAGACTGGGTTTTTCAAGGCAGGGTGGGTTGGCCGGCGGGTAAGCAGGGAAGCATACAGACACAACAAACCATAGTTGTACTCTCTGACACTAATGTACTTTGCAAAACGGCTTCACACAACCTCCTCTCATTCACTCCCCGACTGACTTACTCTCTCAAACTCACCCACCCACTCACTCCTGAAACTTTCACACCGTCTCTTCGCATTCCCCAATTTCTCACCCACAATCACGCCCTCACAGAAACCCACCTCAGGCCAACCATCCACAAGAGTTGCAGCAGCCTGCTCTGCCACCTCCCTGCCAAACACCCATTCCATCATACCCACTCACTCGCCCCACCTCATACCCACTCACTCGCCCCACCTCATACCCACTCACTCGCCCCACCTCATACCGATTCACTCACCCCACCTCATACCCAATCATTCACCCCACCTCATACCCACTCACTCACCCCACCTCATACCAACTCACTCACCCCACCTCATACCCACTCACTCGCCCCACCTCATACCCAATCATTCACCCCACCTCATACCCACGCACTCACCCCACCTCATACCCACTCACTCACCCCACCTCATACCCACTCACTCAACCCACCTCATACCCACTCACTCAACCCACCTCATACCCACTCACTCACCCCACCTCATACCCACTCACTCGCCCCACCTCATACCCACTCACTCGCCCCACCTCATACCCACTCACTCACCCCACCTCATACCCAATCATTCACCCCACCTCATACCCACGCACTCACCCCAGCTCATACCCACTCACTCACCCCACCTCATACCCACTCACTCACCCCACCTCATACCCACTCAGTCACCCCACCTCATACCCACTCACTCACCCCACCTCATACCCACTCACTCACCCCACCTGATACCCACTCACTCGCCCCACCTCATACCCACTCACTCGCCCCACCTCATACCCATTCACTCACCCCACCACATACCCAATCATTCACCCCACCTCATACCCACTCACTCACCCAACCTCATACCCACTCACTCGCCCCACCTCATACCCACTCACTCGCCCCACTTTTCGCCTTCCCCACCATTCAGCCCACACTGAAACCCTCACAGCAACCCACCTCAGGCCACCCATCCGCAAGAGCAGCAGCAGCCTGCTGTGCCACCTCCCTGCCAAACGCCGCGTGCCGAGCCCTGTTGGCAAGGTGGCAGAGGCGCGGGCTGCGGTAGCGCATGAGGTAGCGCGTGGCCTGGGCAAACCACCACCTCCTGGCGTCCACGTTGGTGCGCCCTATCAGGCGCCCATTCACCTCCACTGACCTCTGCATGTGCTGCCACGGCCGCCCCCACAGGCTGGGAGGGAGGGGGAGGAGGGGAGAGGGGAAGCGAGGCGAGGGGAGGGATATGAGGCACACGGAGGAGCGGACGGGGTAAGTGGGAGGAGTGCACGGGACGAGTGGGATGGAAGGAAAGCTAGCAGAAACGTTCAAGAGAGGAGGGATGAGGGAATGGAGGGAGATGGGCGTTCTAAGGTTGGAGCTGCCACTTTGACTCACTCAACAGGCACACACTCACATGCACACACACACACACACTCACATACAAACACACAATCCCACACCCACACACACGCACACCCCCACACACACACATCCACTCACACCCGCATGTGCACACGCACGCACAGACACACCCACCCCCACACACCCGCACGCACAAACACACACACATACCCACCCTCACACACACACACACACACACACACACACACACACACACACACACACATACGCGCGCGCGCGCGTGCGCATATGCGCGCGCAAGAACGCGCACACACACAACCACACCCACACCCACCCACACCCAAACCCACACCCACACCCACACCCACCCACCCACCCAATACTGCTCCCACCTGGGTGGGTCATAGAGAAAGAACCGAGTCGGCTTGGGAAAGCGTCCTCCTGAAAACGTCACAAGCCCATTCAGCACTGCCCTCTTGTCCCCCGCCAACGCCTCCGCCCTCCTCCTACACTCCTCCGTGGTCTCCGGGGCAAAGTAGCACGACCACCGCGCCCTATCCCTCCCCTTGCACCCCTCGTGATCCGCCCTCTCGTAATAGGTAATCACCATGATGCGATTTTCCTTGACCGCTTCTGCTAGAGCTCCTGTGAGCCAATTGATCTGTGCGCCGATACCCATGTACTGGCGGTATATTTGTCGCCCATCAACCAACAGGAACCGCCGAAGCTTTCTCTCGGCCGGCTGTCCTTCCCTGCCTGGTGATTTCTCCTTCACTCCCTCTCCCCCAACGCTCCCCTCCCCTCCAGACCCATCTTCTCCCCCCAACCTCCGCCTCCTCATCAACCTTCTCATCCCAGCTGCTGCGTCGGATTTCCCCAACTCTCGGTCACCGTCGTTCCCCTTCCCACTCCTTTCCAGCTCTTCCTCTCCCCCCTCTCCTAGCCCATCCCGTTTCCCCGCCTCGTCCTTCGCCCCTGCGTCCGCTCCCTCACCCCATGCCTCCTCGCCTTCATCAAAGTAAGTGCAGTCCCGAGGGTGCTGGTGCAGCCACAAGTCATGCTGCACCCTGCGGGTGAGGGGTAGGTTATCCTCATCAGCACCTGCCACCTGCGCGTGAGAGGGAAGAGTGGGAAGGGATAGCGAGCAAGGTTTGTGGGTGCTGGTGCAGCCACAAGTCATGCTACACCCTGCGCGTGAAAGGAAGGTTGTCCTCATCCGCACCTGCCACCTGCAACAGACCGGGAATGGAGGGAATGGCACCAGCAGAAGCAGTAGGCGGGTGACTGAGAAGGGTGGCAAAGGGATAATAAGCCAAGTCCCACGGGTGCTGGTGCAGCCACAAGTCATGCTGCACCCTGTGCGTGAGAGGAAGGTTGTCCTCATCCGCATCTGCAACCTGTGACGGACCGGGAATAGAGGGAATGGCACCATCGGAAGTGTTGGAGCAGTGGGAAAGGGATAGTGAGGCAGGTCAGTTGGGTGCTGGTGCAGCCACAAGTCGTGCGAGCACAACCTACACCCGCGTGTGGGAGGCAGGCTCTCCCCTCATCAGCACTGCCAGACAGACAGCTTTACTTGTGAGAAAAGGGGGTTTTGGAGAACGAGACAGACGCCGGGTGAGAACTGAACTGAACAGTGGGGGATCAACACAAGTGTGTAGTGACATGGAACATGCTGTTCTTTTTTACTTTTGAGAATTCTCAAAAGTGTGTAGTGGCACGGAACATGCTGTTCAGGTGTGGAGAGAGATACTGTGGATCAACAGATAACCCAACAGAAGTGTGCAGTCACATGGAACATGCTGCATAGAACAGAGAGTGGGACTTCACACTCGTTGCAGCATGGCTCTTCGATAGGGCAGAAGGATGGGCAGAAGGATGGGCAGAAGGATGGGCAGAAGGATGGGCAGAAGGATGGGCAGAAGGATGGGCAGAAGGATGGGCAGAACGATGGGCAGAAGGATGGGCAGAAGGATGGCATGCGTTGTCTTCAAGTGAAACTCGATCATTTTAGGACCTAAATCTCCTAGCAACACTGAGAGATACAGTGGGAAAGAAAAAAAAACAAAATGCTCCACTTACCCATGGAGGAAACGGCCCGATCACGTTTGGACGCACGCCAAATCTTTGTTCCCTCATCAACTTCCCTGCGTCTCCACCTCTCCCTGTCACTTCCTTGGCTCCCTCTCTCGCCCTATCTGCTGCTCCTGCATTCTCCTCTGTCCCATCTGCCCCCAACGCGTCCTCTTCTCCTTCTGTTTCCACCACTTCTTCCAGCGCTTGCTGCATCACAGCGTATTGCAGCCGCGCCCCTTGCTGAAACCACACAGGCAGTGAGCCGTTGGGGGAGCGCGAGTCCAAAAGCCTGCAGGGGTGGGTGGTGCGGTGGGGTGTTGAGACGTCTCAAAGAGCGCTTGCTGCATCATAGCGTGTTGCAGTCGCGCCCCTTGCTGAAACCACACAGGCAGCGAACCGTTGGGGGAGCGCGAGTCAAAGAGCCTGCAGGGAGGGGGGGTGCGGTGAGGTTCTGAGTCGTCTCAAAGAGAGATTGCTGCTTCACACAGCGTGCTGCAGCCTAGCTCAATGCTGAAACCACACAGGCACTGAACCGTTGGGGGACGAGAGTCAAACAGACTACAGGGGTGGGTGGTGCGATGGGGGGAAGTGGACGGGGAGGGGAAGTAGAAAGGGCGGGAGGACGAGGAAGGGTTGTACTGACGGGATGATACCTTGTCCGCTTTTTGGATGATGTGAATAAAAGATGAGGACTCAAACAAGCAGTGTAGAGAGGGTATAGATGGTAAGGCACAGAGATGGAAGAATGCAAGTTGCAGATGATTGCTTGTCCGCTCTCACATAAGCACACATATGGCAGAGGTGAATAGAAGAACGATACTCGAAACAACTGGTGTGTGAAATTGGAAGGAGAGGCGAGGTAAAGAGGGGCAAGAGACGGGCCATGGTTGGGTTTGGGAAAAGGGAGAATGGGGGAGAAGAGGTAAAGAGAGGGAAAACAGCAGAATGTTATACAGTGAGGCAGGTTCAGAACCGCGAACACGCGATCCAGCACTGAGCCATACCGGTTCCTTGCACTAGCAGCACTGCAGTCTTCAATGTGAGACGGATAAGGCAGTTTGGCAGCACTCAGCACTTCAGCTATCGACCACCGCGCCCCCTCCGCCCCCATCCCATCTCCACTCCTCCCACCTCCCCCGTTCCCCTCTGCTCCTTCCTCCCCTCCTCTCCCCACGTCCTCCTCCCTACTCCCCGAATTCCCATCATCTTGTCTCTCAGCCCCACCTTCCGCAACCCTCTCCTCTCTCCTGGTACCGAACCCCAGCTGGATTAGGTCCTTCTCTAGTCCCTCTTCCGTCTCCCTGCTTGCATTGCCCTCAGACGCACGCACACCACCCACGATCTCCCACACTCTTAGCAACCGCTTCGCCATCTCTCCCTCCCCTATCTCCTCCCCATCCCTTCCTTGGAATCGCCTTTTCTCTCCAATACCCTCTCTGTTTTCTCCTCTACCTGTTTCCTGATCGGCACCAAGTCCTTTTTCATCTGATTCCCTTTGTGACTCATCGTCATCTGCCCGCCAACTTGCCGCCTCTACAGAAGCCAGCACCTGCCTGTGACTGTCCAGAAGCTGCTGCAGTCTCGCCACGTGTTGGCTCAGGACACGTGGCACTTCCTGGGACCCTCCCGTCGCATCTGCAGCCACATCAGCAGGATCAGCAACAGAACCAGCAGCAGTCTCACCAGCAGAATTCTTATCACTACCGGTCACATTACCTGCACCATCAGCACCACTAGCACCAGATCTCGTGTCATTGCCTCTCCCACCCTCTCCAGCACCATCCTTCCCGTCCTGCCTCAATCGCTCCGCTTCTGACAGGCTAAGAGCACGCTTCAGCGCGAATACTGACGTCTCTAATTCATCAAGAAAGTTGCGGTGAGAAGCTGACGCTGTGGCGCAATGGCGCAGCTTGGCAGATAAGCAGGCCTGAATGCGATGCGATGGTGGGAAGGGGATGGATGAAATGAAGGCATGCAGACGATGGAGAGAGAATAGACGAAGAACAAGGAAAACAAGGAGAACAAGGAGAAGAATGAGAAACGAACGGAAAGTGGAGGAAAAGGATTAACCGTCAGAAGGAGGATCTAAGGAACGGAGCATGGAAAGAGGATGTGTTAGCACCAGAAATGGCAGTTTTATGGAAAATGTGGTAGTTAACAAGACACGAAAGTCCCGCACATACTCATCAGGCGCAAAATGGGTCTCTCAGATAATGCACAAATCTTTGTCTCGCGAGCCATGGCCATACAAGGACAGTTCTCAGTGGTGGATTCAAAAGTCGTCGGCACTTATTCATCAGTTGCAAAATAGACCAGATAATGCACAATTTCTTGCCTCACGAGCCATGGCCATACAAGGACAGTGCTCAGTAGCTTCAAAACCTGCCTGCTGCTTTGCGGGATCCTTGAAGCTGCATCCTGCGCCGCTTGTCGAGAACATAAGCGACGCGCCAATCGTGCTGACATCCGCGAACGGATTGAACTTCGACCGTAGAAACACTTCCGATACAAGGCACAGGAAGACCACAGCTATCAGCAGTAGCGCGGAACCGCGAATGCTGGACCGTCCTTCCGTTTGTAGCAGCTTCGTTTCAAGACACAGGAGGTCGACCTTGCGGGGAATCTCCCTGTCTTTGCTGGCCGATCCGGGAACTGATCCACCGAAAGAGGAAGCTTCTTGAGAAACAGCATGGCCATGATCCGACGGCTGCTGCGTGCGTCTTAAAGGCCTCATTTTGCCTAGATTTTTGGCGACTTACACGCTGACGTGGGAGCGGCTAGCGGCGAGTAGCGAATGGTGATGATGGGTACAGTCGACCGGAGGAGCTGTTGTCTGAGTGCTGATCCGGAACCAATGCAGCAGGTCGAAATAGGGTTGAATTCGTACAAAATCAGTCGACGGCAACTAAAAAATACAATGTCGCGAACAAGACTTTGCGCTGCGAGCGACCGGCGGTCGAAGTGAAGGGCGACGCGGTGTGCTATTAAGAATGATGTGATTGTTAATGATGTGACACTAAATTTGGGATTATATACAAGGAGTGTGAGACCCGGGTGAGCGATATGGGAGCGCTTTGCGACATATTGGACCCGAACAGGAAGCCGTATTTCAAATCAACAGAGAAACTAGAAAATCTATGATACTGAGGAGAAAAAACGCGACGACTGGCGGGTATCTGACGCACGCAAGACAATGCCACGTGTAATGTAGTGGTCTGAAGGATCACGGAAGAGGCAATAACGAGTATATCACAAACAAGGTTGGCTGCTTAGTCCGCGTTGAGCATCCCACTAGCTTCAGAGTGGCTCGAACCGCATTCAGAGTGCATAAAGGACGGACGAAGGAGTGGTATTGCGACGAGCCAGGACTGAGTTAGCAGCATAACCGTGCTCCAGTGATGAGGGAATTGATTATTCCTTGTCACCGCAAGACGACTTACTCTACACCTACACAGGTTCATGTTCATAGGTTTGACTGAAGGAACAACACGCGCAACTCAGAGAGGCGGCATGGAACTTCCAGGCACATGTTCACCTACACGGTACCTACTTGTGGAATGCAAGTCTTGGATTTGTGTGGAATTCCAGTCTCGGGATTTGCTCGGCAGTTCTCGTGGCCTTGTTTGGCTGGCGCATCAGCCGTGGGTGGGTGTGTGAAATGCTAGTCCTAGGATTCCCGTGGCAGACCCAAGAATGTTGTCAGTTCGGATCAGATCATGTGCGAAAATGGGACGACCCTACAGAACCTTGGAGACCCTTCCAGGGGCGTGCTCGCTGTTCTGTCCAGATTTGTGTGTCCTTTTCGTTCTCTGAAACCTCTTTAAACAGTTACTTTCCCCAGCGAATCCCAAGGGCTCATCCCTGCTGTTACAAAACCAGTTGACGATAGATCCCCTCTCGCTGAGTGCGCAAGACGAAACCGGGTGCGTGCGAACGCGCAGGTGGCTACTAACGTTGATATGGTCCGTGCATGCGCCTCGACTTCACACTGACACACTGGAGCGCTCTGGACACGAGAGAGTCTACACGCCAACGAAAACAGGGACGCATCTGACAACTTTTGTTGGCTACATGAGCAAGCCTTCCTGGATTTCATGAAGCTAATTCACACTCTCATATTGGTTCCTATTGTAAGCTTTATTTACAACAGACTAATAATGACACTAGCTGGTGGTTGGGAGTCGGAAGGGCAAGTCCAATAACACAGAACACTGCATAACAAAGGGGGCATTGCCACTACCAAAAGGGCTTGAGAGGAGAGGAGGAAGAGGCAAAAGTGACCGTTTGATTGGATAAATCAACAAAAAGAAAATCAAAATGCAAGGAGGTGCCACAAAGTCCAATCAACACATCACACTGCCTAACAATAACAACCCTTACTCCCTGGTCCACATGTAACCCATCGCCCCTTCGCACAAACCACGAGACAGTGAATCTCCGCAACCACAACCCATCCATCCATCCTCTCTTCATGTATGTACTATGTACACCTCAATTTATTCCCATGCCTAGGCTGATTCACCCTGCTGTTCAGTCATCTTATGCCTGTTCTGCTTCTTCACCTTCTTAACCTTCTTGACTTTCACACTCTTCTCCTGCGTTTTCTGCTTAATCACCTTGCTCCTTTTGCCCTTCCTTTTTCTCCTCAACGGCTCTCTCCCTTCCGCTGGTTCCTCCCGGCCTTGATCCAACCCCGTCTTCCCAACCTCCCCTGGCCTCGCCTCTTCCCCAGTCCCTTGCAGTTCCACCCTTCCACCACCACCACCACCACCATCACTACCAACGTCATCAGCAGCTGCTGCTCCAACAGTTGCTTCTGTCGTCTCACCTCCCAAACCACTCCCATAACTCCTCAGTGTGCCACCCTCATGCAGATTCTTCATCCCCTTTTGCTTTTCCTCCTCACGACTCACTAGCTCTTGCTGCAGCAACTGCTGCTGCGGCTGTGGCTGTGACAGTCTTTGCTGCAACTGCTGCCACTGCGCCTCTCCCTCACTCCCTTCACTACCATTAGGTTCCAACTGACGTTGCACCCTCTTCTCCCCTCCTTGCGTGTCTTGCCCTTGTACCACAAGAGTATCCACTGGTAGCACAATCAGCCTTTCTGCTGCTTTTTGTTCCAGCCTGACTGTTTGAACAACTTCTGAATCGCGCTCTGCTGTTCCGTCTTTCTGCTCCCCATCGCTCCCTTGACCTTCCAATTTCTTCCCCTCTCGTCGCTCATTTCCAACATCCTGCTGCTGCGTCGTCGAGTGCTTTTGCCCCTGCCCTTGCTCGTGCTGCTCGATTTTCTTAGAGCGCTTTGCTTTCTCCTCCCCACTGCCCGCTCCTCCCTCCGCCTCCACCTCTCCTTGCGCATCTGCTCCCGTTCCGCCCCCTTCACCCGCGTCTGCTCCGCCAGTGCCCTCCTGTGCATCAGAGTCATCAGGCGCAGCTTCGTCACCTCTCCCTGCCTCTGCTACAGCTGCTCCTGCTGCGCCCTTAGGAATCAACATCTGCCCAGAGCGCAGAGGAAAAGAGGGACGGGGGGACGGAGAGATGGAGACAGTGGACCAGAAGGGAAGGAACGTGGCGAAAGAGACGGAATACGAGATGAGCTTGAATACGAGAGGGTTGCATAAGAGGGGATTAATACAAGAGGCAATGCTGTGATTGAATATATGGTCACGTGGCACTAGCTTTATTTTTCCGAAATGGGAAGACGAACTTGAAACCGTTGTACAACGTACCAGTTTACTCCCAACGGTTCGAACGTCGTAGAACTTGCCCGAGAGCCGTGCGATTTCCTCCACGGCCTTTTCGTGCACCGTTGGATCGCGCGCCACCAGCTCGTCGTACGCTGCGTCAAACACGTCCCTCCAAAACTGCTTATATCGCGGATGAAGTTGCGGAAATGGAGGTCGTATCGGAAGAGGAAACGGAGAGGAAAAGCGGGAAGGAGGGAAGGAAAGGGGAGGGGGGAAAGGGGGATGGGGAGGGGGGAAAGGGGGATGGGGAGGGGGGAAGGGGGAGGGGAGAATGGGGAAAAGAGGGGGAGGAAAGCAGAGCAAATGAGGTCTATGATGTGTGAGAACTGGGACACAAGAAGATCGGTAAAGAATCATCATCTGTGCAAATTCGCTTCTTGTCTCGCCTGATATGGCGATAAGACCATCACGCGATCGCCGACTAGCGCGATGTTCAATAACGCGGCGCCGACTAGCGCGACTCGACGTACCTCGTCGATGAGGCGATACGGGGCTTCTTGGAAGTACTCCCATTCGTCCTCCACCAACCGGATGCGCTGCCGCAGCTCCTGCTGACGTGTCACGCGCACGACGAGCCACGGGGAGGGGTACACGGCGCGAAAGGAGGCGTTTCGATAGAGAGCGCATGACGGCGTGGAAACGCGGCGCGACAATGGAGAAAAGGGGGGAAGAGGGGAGAGCGTGGGGGATAGGGGGGGAATAGGGGGGTGGAGGGGATAGGGGAATGATAACGATGAAGACAGAAAGGGCATTTAAAACGCAATAAGAGGGGGAAGACTTGTGAGGAGAATGGAGTAATGGAAGCGAGGGAAAGGAGGGGAGCGGGAAGTGGGGAACGGGGGAGCGGGAGAGGGTGGGAATGGTGGGAAGGAAGGGAGAGAAGAGAAAAGGAGACATTGTGCGGGAGTCCACGAAGAGAAAAAAAAATAATGTGCTCTCATTATGCTCCTTCTCTGTGCCTCTCCTCACTCACCTTCTCATCCATGTCGCCTCCTACGAGCAGATCCTCCGACGCCGACAGATCCAGCGCCGCCATCATCGCCGCCATTTCCGCGTCGTGGCCCCTCACCAGCGCCCGCGTCACTTTCCCAACCGCGCCGCCTCCCCCCGCGCTCACCCTCCCCCAGGGGCCACGCCCGCGTTTTCCCCTGCCGCCAATTTCGCCGCCGCCCCCTGTTCCACCGAGTAACCAGCTTCCCCCGCCAAGCCCCACGCCCTCGACAAACAGTAACTTGGCGGGGTCGCTTCCGCCGATGCCGTACTCGCCGTTTCCGCCTGCGTCGTCTCCGCCGGAACCGGCGGCGGCGGCTGCGGCGATTAAATCGACGGCGGAAAGATCGATTGCGCGTGTTGACAGGAGGAACGAGGCCGTAAGCAGCAACGCGGAGAAGACCAAAATCAGCTGCAACTGCGACAAACTGGATACACCCCAGAGCAGTGCTTTCGATTTTGACTCCCCGCCGCCACGACCGCACTCTCCGCAGCCGCGACACGCGCTTTTAAGCTTTAATCCTGGGGGGCATTGCGCGGGGTGTAGCGCAAGTCTCATTCCCGGAGAAGTCGACACGCGCGCGCATTTTTGCGGGGGCGGGGATAGGGACGGCGTGAAAAGCGCGGTCGCCGGCGCCGAGTCGTGCTCCTCCGCGCACGCCGCTCCGCCGACTCCCATCTTACCCTGGCGCCCCCAGCCCGACCCCGCGGAAGCCTCGGGTCCTCTAAGCGGAGTTCGGGAAAGGGCGTTAGGAAGCGGGAGGAGCGCGTTAGGAGGCGTGGTAGGAGAGGTGCCCGGAGATGAGTGCGACGATGAGTGAGGAGATGAGCGAGGAGGCGGGGTGTGAGGAGCCGGCTGAGGCGACGAACCACGCGCACCAGCTGGAGAGGCACCAGATGAGGTTCGTCTCTCGAACGGCTTAGCAGCGGGGGACGCGCTGACCGAAGTTTCGGAGCTCCGGGGGGTTTCGCGGCAGCGGCGGAAGCCGGGCCGGGGAACGGCGGAAGGTGCGGCGCACGCGGGGAGCGCGGAAGCGGAAGCTGAAGCGCGGAGGCGGAAGGCGGAGATGGTGACGCTGCCGGGCTTGAGCTGCGCGGGAGCTGGCGGCGGGTAAGAGTTTGAGCAGGTGAATCGGAATCAACTAATGTACATGTTTCGGCGGCTGTCACGCCTGAGCTGCTGCCTCCTTCGCCGCTGACGACCGTTCCCCGGGCCGATGTAGCGGTTTCGCTGAGTCTGCGACTGGACGAAGACTGGTTACCAGCCACGTTTTCGCTACGAACATCTGCGTGCACTTGCGACGGCTCGCGCGCGCCGGGCTGAACCTGTTCCGGGCGAAGAGCTCGACTGTCGATTGATGACTGTTCAGCGGGTGAGATGGACGATGTTCTGTGGTGCACTGAGGAAGGATGAACCACTGCCATCCACCGCACGATCGCACGTTGATCGCAGAATAACAACGACCCTCGCTCGTCAAAGACCTTAACTACCCAATACGCCGAACCTTAATTAACTCAGGAGGGAACTTAACTAGCTGAAACTTCAGAACCTTAAAGGGATCTTCACTGGACTATATGCTGAGTCGTTTCGTCTTCGTTAGAAACGTCCAGGAGAACGGGACGGGTGAGAGCGTGAAACTGGTACGATTATTTCTTCAGCGAGATACGGGGCTTCGACAGGGACCACGACAGGCCTTTCGGACAACCGTAAAAAAAAGGGGGAGGAAAAAATACCTAGAGAGGAAAGAGGCTGCGACAACGGACGCCCCCTACTGTTACAAGCGATTTTCTAAAATTTAGAAGCATCTTTCGTAGGCAAGGTCATCCCAGGAGCTATGGAGGCGACCGTATTAGAGGTTGGCGTGGTAAGCTAAATTGTGTTGGAACTGGAGTACCAACAAGTTCCACTAACAAAACAGGTGGAACGTCGAAGATCAAGGTAGGATAGATGGCACCACCCTTGACGGAGGCCTGCCCTGGCTTCCCCTTGAGAAACTCGTGGAGGACTAGGGATTGGAGTGTGAGGAGCAAATGTCGGGCACACTAGCGGGGAACGCGGAGGGGAAGCGGGGTGGGTAACTCAAGGTATGAAGCTCGTCGTGCTTTTAGGCTTGTCAACAGAAGCAAACCAAGGGCTCGGGGAGAACCTCACCATAAGGTTCGGTCGGTGGTGCTTTGGGGTTATATGGGGGAATCTCGAAGGCGCACGGATGCCTGGTTTGGCTTTTGCTGAATCAGGCTTGGAACCAGTTTGGTTTGGTTTGGTTTGTACTGCACAAGGAAAAAGGATCCAAGAATCAAGGGTACTGTAGTCTCACCGCTGACGTTTAACGAAACGATATGATAGGTGAAGTGATGTGACGGCCCCATACCTGTTTGTGCTGGTGCTCACCGAACCAGGATTGAAGGTTTGGCCCCGAAAACGTCGTCGATTGGGCAAGCCGTCATCGTCAAGACGTATGGGACGGACGGAGCGCGAGGTTGCACATGCGCTCTCGGCACCTCCTTGGTTTCAACGACTACTGTTTCTCGCGACTTGCGATCAACGCAGCAAGCAACTCGTCAAACAGGGGGCGCTTGAGGAAGATACGTGGGCCCATGACTACACAGACGAGTTTCGCATAGTCGTCACAAGCGAAACGGCGACCAATGGCAGTCTGCAAGGGCAGGTGAACAGTTCTAATCAAGGGCAGTCGCCGAGCCGGAGCAATAACGAGGGTTCGTGCTCGCGAATTTGACGTCCTGCTCTTCTACAGTATTTGGCTTCAAGTGGCATACGCCTCGAAGCGTGACCTTATCAAGGGGCATAGGCTAGGGAGGACGCCTTGGGCACGTCAAATTGCAACTGGAGGTTCGGTAAGTTACAAACCTTGTGGCGGCAGCAGTTTTACTGCAACCACGTCCGCTTTTATAACACAGTTTCGAAACGAGTAGAGTAGACACCCACTTTGTTATGGGTTGTCAAACAGAGTTGCGCGGAATACAAATAACGAGGCTGTGACTCAATGAACTGACGATACAATGAAAGGCATGCGATTATATAGCGAGGCAACCTAGCTAGGCGGGAACCTCGGGAACACGAGGTTGAGTGCAGGTTGGGCAAAGGAAAGCCGAAGGCGACGCGAGGTTGCTTCGGCAGCAAGCAAAGCGGCCGAACGTGCACTTCCGAAAGTTGGGGTTGTACGCGGTTGAGTAAACCCCAGTAAGGAAAAAGGGTTTTTCCTTACACTACCCCCCCCCTTAAGAAAGGTGGTCAACATCCACAGCTCGCTTGCGGGCGAGGTAATCACCAAGAAGCGGGGAAGCTTCAAGCGAGGCGGATGGCACCCATGTGTCGTCCTCACTGGTGCGGTCAGTCCAACGGATTAGGAAATCCACGTGGCGTCCAGAAACGTCGAGCCGAACACGATGCGCCAAAATCTTGGACGGGTCAAGTGTCGGTTCCGGGACAGGTCGAGCTGTCGGGACGGCGTTCTGGTGCGCTATGTCTGTCGTGGCAGGCACGAACTTGCGAAGTAAGCTGACGTGGAAGGCGTCGTGAATACGCCAATCGCCGGGTAGTAGCAGCTTCGCGGTGACAGGTGTCACCATCTTGATGATCTTGAAAGGCCCACAGAAACGTGGCCATAATTTCGATGGGCCGGGCAGATGCAGGTTCTTCGTGTCGAGTAGCACTAGTTGCCCAGCTGTCATTACGATTTCCCGTCGTAGGAGATCCGAGTATTTGCGGGAAGTGGTATTCGCCTTGCGAATTGCGTCCGCAGCCTTCTCGCGAATTTCTTGGAGTTCTGTCACAAATGTTTGTGACCTCGGGACCGGGTTGTCAAGTGTAGTCGTTGTAGGTACCACCGGGTCCATCCCGTAATTCAAGAAGAACGGGGAGTGATTAGTCGTGCTGGACGGAGCGTTGTTGAACGCGAATTCCAGCATGGCGAGCGAATGTTCCCAGCGAGCGGGGTCGGGGCAGTTTGTCCTGATCAGCTGCTCCATCGTCTGATTGGTCCGCTCGGTCTGGCCGTCGGTTTGCGGGTGGTATGCCGACGAGAACTGTAGCTTCGTGCCGTACTGCGCCCACGTCTCCTTCCAAAATTTTGAAGTGAACTTCGGGTCCCGGTCGCTGATGATCGCCGATGGGATGCCGTGTAGTCGCACAACGGTGGAGATGAAGAGGCGTGCAGTTTCTTCGGCGGTGATTGTCGTGCGACAAGGTGCGAAATGCGCCATTTTCGTGAGGCGATCGACGACGACGAGTACAGCGTCGTTGCCGGACGGCCCAGCTGGCAGCCCCGTGACGAAGTCCATCGTCACCTGTTGCCATGGTCGTTCGGGTGGCTCGAGAGGTTGCAGCAACCCAGCTGGCCGCTGACGTGTCGATTTCATGGCTTGGCACACCCTGCATGAGGACACATATCGCTGCACGTCGTTAGCAGAATCAGGCCAATAATACTGACGGTGCAACAACTTCTGGGTTTTATCAACCCCGAAATGTCCGGAGAGGTTGGAATCATGGACCTCCTGAATAAGGAGTTCACGCAGCAGCCGGTAAGCGGGAACCCAAATCCGGTCAGTTCCGGCCTTTAGGTAATAATTCCCCTTCTGCGTCGTCGCCTGCTGGTGATTTCCAGTCGTGAAGAACGGGTCCGTAGTGTAGCCGTGGGTGAATAGGTCCGAAAGAAGTGGGTTCGAATGAGTGATCAGCACAGCAGCGGATTGGACTGTCGGTCGGGTCAGGGCGTCGGCAATGTTGTTCGCGCCCTTCTTGTAGGTGATCCTGTAGTGGAAGTGTGACTCCATGTAATCGAGCCACCGGATTTGTCGCGGGTTGAGGTTGGGTTGCGCTCGAAGGTACTGTAGGGATTTATGATCGGTGCGAACAGTGACGTCGGCGCCAGTCAGGTAGCATCTCCACAGTTTAAACGCGTGAATGATGGCGAGCATCTCCTTGTCGTGAATCGGGTAGTTGCGCTCGGCTGCCTGCAACTTGCGTGACTCGTAGGCGATCGGTTGTAAACCGTTGTCAAAATCCTGGAGTAGCACTGCGCCGATGGCGAAATCTGAAGCGTCGGTGACAACTTCAAACGGCTTGGATGGGTCGGCGATGCGAAGAACCGGAGGGGACACCAGTAACTGCTTCAACTCTTGGAAAGCCGCCTCAGCCTCCTCCCCCCACACGAAGTTCCTGTCCTTGTGCAGCAGGTCGGTCAGCGGGCCGGTTATCCCCGCCATATTCGGGATAAACCGCCGGACATAATTCACAAACCCCAGAAAACTCTGAAGTTCCGTGACATTAGTCGGGGCCTTCCACTCCTGGATGGTCTTGATTTTCTTCGGGTCGATTTTGATGCCGTCGCGTGAGATGACGTGCCCCAAAAACTCCAACTCCTGCTTAAAGAACTCGCACTTAGAGCCCTTGGTGATGAGCCGGTTGTCTTGTAGCCGCTTAAACACTTCGTCGAGGTCGCAGAGGTGCTGCTCGCGTGTCCTGCTAAAAATCAGAATATCGTCCAAATAGACGATAACACACTTGTCCAGCAGGTCGCGAAACACCCTGTTCATGGT